GATGTGTCAGTATTTTATGCATGTATGTGCATATGTGTGCAAATACACACTTAAAATGTAAATTTGAGGTTACAATTCCATTCTGGAAGCTAGAATTTATTTTACTAAATACACACAAATATGCACAAATTTGTGCAAAAATAATCATAATAATGATGTTCAAACATCAGTACTGTGTGCAGGCACCCTAAAAGTCCCACTGCATTTGTGACTTAAGTTAGGCATTGTCCAAGTTAGGATATTGTCAAAACATTATTCATGCTCAAGTGTAGCTTTGCATGCATCATTAATTTTGTCAGAGTATATGTAAAGCCTTTTTCCATTTTCAGTAAAGTAGGGAATAGATAAATCAAAATATTTTTCTTTACTTCCTGTCCTGTACACACCAAAAATCTCTCCAACGTTCTGAAACTCTCCTCTCTCTCTCTTCCTCATTTGTTACAAGCACAAGTGTTTCCACTGAAAGATTCTCATCCTATCTCTGATCTGGTAATTACTCATAGTATTTTTTACATAGTGAGGTTGAAAAAGACACTAGTCCACCCAACAGAGGGAAAAAAACCCCATATACACAATTCTATACCCACAGTTGATCCAGAGGAAGGCAAAAAAAACAATAAGGCATGATCCAGTTTGCTCCAGTGGAGGAGAAAAATTCCTTCCTGATCCCCTGGGAGGCAGTCGGATATTCCCTGGATCAATAACCTCTTTTGTTATTACCTCTAAATACTAGTATTGTTTATACAGTTGCAAGAAAAAGTATGTGAACCCCTTGGGATTACGTGGAGTTTTGCATGAATTGGGCATAAAATGTGCTCTGAACGTCATCTAAGTCACAACAATAGAAGAACACAGTCTGCTGAACATAATACTACACAAAACATTAGATGTTGCCATGGTTTAATTGCACATAACATTTAAACATTCACATTGCAGGGAGGAAAAAGTATGTGAACCTTTGGACTTAATAACTGGTTGACCCTCCTTTGGCAGCAATAACCTCAACCAAACGTTTCCTGTAGTTGCAGATCAGACCTGCACAACGATCTGGAGTAATTTTGGACCACTCCTCTTCACAAAACTGTTTCAGTGTAGCAATATTCTTGGGATGTCTGGTGTGAATCGCTCTCTTAAGGTCATGCCACATCATTTCAATCTGGTTGAGGTCAGGACTCTGACTGGGCCACTCCAGAAGGCGTATTCTGTGCTGTTGCAGCCATTGTTTTGTTAAATTACTTGTATGCTTTGGGTCATTGTCCTGTTGCATCACCCATCCTCTGCGAGCTTCAGTTGGCGGACAGATGGTCGTACGTTTTCCTGCAAAACGTCTTGATAAACTCTGGAATTCATTTTCCCATCAATGACAACAATCCATCCAGGCCCTGAGGCAGCAAAGCAGCCCCAAACCATGAGGCTCCCTCTGCCATGTTTTACAGTGGGGATGAGGTTTTGATGTTGGTGTGCTGTGCCTTTTTTTCTACACACATAGTGTTGTGTGTTCTTCCCAAACAACTCAATCTTGGTTTCATCTATCCACAGTATATTTTGCCAGTAGTGCTGTGGAACATCCAGGTGCTCTTTTGCAAACCTCAAACGTGCTGCAATATTCTTTTTGGACAGCAATGGCTTCCTCCGTGGTGTCCTCCCATGTACTCCATTCTTGTTTAATGTTTTCCTGATTGTAGATGTGTCAACAAAAATGTTAACATGTGCCAGAGATTTCTGTAGGTCTTTAGCTGACACTCTGGGATTCTTCTTTACCTCATGCAGCATTCTGCGCTGTGCTCTTGCAGTCATTTTTACAGGACAACCACGCCTAGGGAGAGTAGCAACAGTGCTAAACTTTCTCCATTTGTAGACAGTCTGTCTTACCGTGGACACATGAACATCAAGGCTTTTGGAGATACTTTTGTAACCCTTTCCAGCTTCATGCAAGTCAACAATTCTCGATCGTAGGTCTTCTGAGAGCTCTTTTCTGCAAGGCATAGTTCACATCAGACCGTGCTTCTTGAAACCAGTAACCCAAAACAGGTGTGTGTTTTTTAAGGGCAGGACAGCTGTCAGCAACACATCCAATATTCCAATATCATCACACTGATTGGAGTCAAGGTTGGCTCTCCCAGCTGGCTCCAATTAGCTCTGGGAGAAGTCATTAAGCTAGGGCCTCACATACTTTTTCCTCCCTGCACTGTGAATGTTTACATGTTATGTGCAATTAAACCATGGCAACATCTAATGTTTGTGTAGTATTATGTTCACCAGACTGTGTTCTTCTATTGTTGTGACTTAGATGACGTTCAGAGCACATTTTATGCCCAATTCATGCAAAACTCCACGTAATCCCAAGGGGTTCACATACTTTTTCTTGCAACTGTATTTTGTGCATTTAGGAATGCATCCAGCTCTTTTTTAAAACAATCTACTGAGCTGGCCAGAATCAGTTCTTGAGGAAGTCTATTCCACATTTTCACATCTCTGACTGTGAAAAGGCCTTTCTGTATTTGGAGATTAAATCTCTTTTCCACCAGACGTAAAGCGTGCCCCCTTGTCCTCTGTAATGACCTGAAAGTGAATAACTCTACACCAAGTTCACTATATGGACCACTTATGTATTTATCATAGCTGAGCTCATCCATGCCTCTTATCAGTTTGGTCGTTCTTCTCTGCACTTTCTCCAGTTCTTTTTGTGAACTGGTGCCCAAAACTGAACTGCATATTCTAGATGAGGTGTATTGATTTGTACAGGGGCAAAAACTCAAAATTGCTCACCAGGAGAATTAGAGAGTGAATCTCCACTGCAGGGACACAGACAACAAAAAAACCTGACAGATGTAAAACCTCCTAAAGTATAACTAAAGGCAACTTTTTTTTTGTTTTGGATGGAGTGGAGAGGGATTAGAGCACTTGTCAGTTTTTATTGCTGTCTGTGACCCTGTTGAGGTGATTCACCCTCTCTTTGTCCTGTTTACCATTGTCATTGAAAGTTAAAGTAAAAGAAAATCCCAAATTTTGGGTTGTTCCCAGAAAAGTAAAAGAGAGGAAATCTTCCAATGGGGACACTAGTTCTGGTGACCTGGGGGTTCCCAAAGAATTTCCTTAATTTGCAGGGATTTCCTCTCACTTTCTGTTTGGCTATTAGACAGGAAGTGAAGGGAAATCCCTGCAATAGAACCTAGGTGGTGAAAAAAAATCTGACAGGTATAACCCTCCCTTGCTCTATCCAAAATAAAAAAAAAAGTTTTTGATGGTCTTTAAAGAAATAATATAACAAACATATTATAATTACCTGCTCTGTGCAGTAGTTTTGCACATAGCTGCCCTGGTCCTCTTCTTTTCTGGTCCCCGCAGGCACTGCTGGCTACTTCCTCTCGAGCAGTGCCCCCAGAGAAAGCTGCCTGCCCTGGGGGCACCACTGCATGCTCACTCCTGACCCAATGCTCTATGTGTCCGTATTACACATAGAGCTGTGACTCGGGGCCCCCCCCCCCCCACCCCCCACACTCACACTTTCACCTCATTGGCTCACTAGTTGTGATTGCCCACTGGCTCCCACTGCTGTCTCAGCCAATGAGGGGGGAGAGTCCCCATACAGCCGAGGCTATTGTGCACATCGCTAGATTGGAGGGGGCTCAGGTAAGGTTTGGGGGGCTGGGGGGGACCGCTGCACACAGAAGTTTTTTTACATTTATGCATAGAACACATGAACGTAAAAAAACCTTGAGCCTTTGGAACCACTTTAAATAAAATTCCTGTCCACTATATTCAAAGCTAAAAAAAATAGCTTAAAACATATAGTCTGATTTTGCTGGGAATTAGCTTCTCTGCTAGAAATATTTTGAGAAATGCATTGAGCCTTCTCACTTTACAAAATCTTCTTTTCTTTAGTACTAACAAATATTTATATCTGCCCAGAAAGAGACATTCCATCCAGACAGGTAAAGGTAAAAATACTGAAGAAATAATATGGCTTTATTCCAAAATCTGTGCAAAGTAGACTAAGCATGTCCAAAACTTGGACAAGTAAAAAATTGCAGAGGTTATTTCAGCGAGTAATGTGTTAAAAAACAGTGGAACCTGAGATTTAGGCAGCTAAAGTTCCCAGAGGCCACCTGTTATATTAATAGACGGCTTTGGAGGTCGGTGAGATAGAGCATAGTTTGATTTTTATAGGAAAATTCTAAATGATAAATTTCAGTTTTTTATATCTCTAGATCTGCCAGTCCTTTAACAAGGATGGTCACGTCTGCTCCATTGCTTGTTTAAATTTCCAAGCTTTCAGATTTTAAAGTGTTACTAAACCCACAACAGTAAAATCAGTCAGTATGTGCAGTAAAGCATGCTTGTTATACTCACTGTGGAACCTAAGGGGTTAATCCTCTGCATTATGTAAAATCGCTGTTTGATCCTCACTTCTCTGGTCCTCCCCTTCTTCCAGTGCCCCCCTCTTATCTCCTGATAAGACATATTGTGTGGAGTCACTCTGTATATGCTCAGTTTGGTGTGCATTGCTGGAGAGGTTTTCTTTTTTTTTGGGGGGGAGAGTGCATGTGCACAGGGCCAATCAGCACTGTCCAGACAGAGGTCAGGGGTTCTGCATCCTCCTAGAGCACAATCAAAACTCCTCCTTTAACCAGTGCTCAGCTAGACATTGATAGAAGTCACAAGACTGCTGTAACTGCTGATGAGAAAAGCTATTTAGCAGTTTATATTTACTAAAATAATTGTACTTCTGTGTACTGTGGGAGACCAGATATAGTGAATGCATGGTCTTGAGTTTAGTAACACTTTAATTTACATGGGGGTTTTCACTAAAATTGTCTCTCAGCAGTAAATCAAAGGGATTCTATCATCTAAAATAGATTCTTTAGTTCCAGATTTTGCCCAAAGTACCACCTGTTGGTGAAATGTGGTATGACGTGTGCTTATTATAATTGTCATAAAAGTAGAGTACTAGTATTTTCTTTCTGATCTGCAACTAATACTGCTATTTTCCTGTTTAGGTTCTATTTAATGTAACAATTACTATGGAAAAAATTGTGATGTAGAAGGAGGACACAACTACATCATCCTTAAACCCACTGGTTTCAATGAAACCGTAAAAATAAAGATACACAGGACTTGTACATGCCAGTGTAATAGCCCTTTGAGGCAGAAGGAGCAGAAGTGTATAACTGAGGTCCATCCGGACTGCCCTGGAGCTCCTTGCAGTGATGGTAATTGTAGCTCTGGAGAATATGTACATCTATCAGGAACATGTAAGCACTCCCTCACTGAACCCGAGTGCAGTGGTCGGGGAATATGTCTATGTGGAAAATGCTACTGTCATAAAACCAAACTGGGAAAAATATATGGGAAATACTGTGAAATGGATGACTTTTCTTGTCCATACAACCAAGGAAAACTGTGTTCTGGTAAGTAGTTTGTAAATGTTAGAAAATCTATGCTGTTTTTTGTTACTTGTTTTCATTATTGCACACTTAGTCACTAAAAGCAGCCATTTCAGTATATTTTTAAGGATGCACTCAACCCACTCATTGTAAACCAATGGCTTCACCATAGCAGGGACCGATTTTATTTTAAAGAATATTTTTAAAAACAGTGGAGAAAACTAAGGACTGAGTTGACAATCCAATGTGTAAGAAATGTTCAGGAAACCTGGAATTCTGTATTTTAAAATAGGGCAATAAAACAAACCCAAATATAGGGCATTAAAACAAACCTGCACTGACAAAATACTGATTTTCTTTAAGTTCATGTAGCACTTCAGACAACAACAGGAGAGAGATCTATGGGGCTATGGGTCTATAGATGATGGGTAAAAACTTCTACAACTTGAATTCTAAGATTTCCATTTTTCCTGTGACCATTCCATTGGTGTATTTAGTGCTTATACATCAATCATCCATTACTTTATGACCAATGACAGGTTAAGTGAATAATACTGGTTATATCATTACAATGGCATTTGAAAGTCAAAGGATATGTTAGGCAGCAAGCAAACACCTACCATGAGTCTGTGAGCATCAGAACTGGACCACAGAGCAATCGTAGAAGGTTGGCTGGTCTGATGAATCACATTTTCTTTGACACCATGTGGATGGCCAAGTGCGTGTGTTTTGCTTTCTTAGAGAAGAGATGGCCCCAGGATGCACTATGGGCAAAAAATCAAACCGACATAGGCAGTGTGATGCTTTTGGCAATGTTCTAATTGGTTTGAGGAACAAAATAATGAGTTTTAGGTGTTGACTAGGCCTGTATTCGCCAGATCTCAATCCAATCGAGCAATCTGTGGGATGTGCTGGAAAAACAAGTCCGATCCATGGAGGTCCTACCTTACAACTTACAGGACTTAAAAGATCTGCTACTGACAGCTTGGTGCCAGATACCAACTCACACTTTCAGAGGACTATTGGCAGCCATGCTCATTGGGTCAGGGCTATTTTGGTGGCAAAACAGGGACCTACTCAATATTAAGTGTGTGGTCATAACGTTATGGCTAATCGGTGTATTTGATCTCTAAGGACATTGGGATGTTTGTGGTACATTTGTGCCACTTTTTCCTTGAGGTAATCTGTCACTACTTGAGCTTGCGTTCACATATTGATTATCTTTCAAGATGAAAAATACAAATGCTTCCTGAGCTAATGCGTCTTCTAGGCACAAGTCTATTATGATGAAGCCCAGGTCCATAAAATAATGGTACTTTTTAGCCTGGCTAGTACAAAAAGGACATGCTGTTGGTGTGATTGTTAGGACAAGGATATAAATACAGAATTATGTTTTTATCTTTTGATGAGGATTATCTTTTGCATAGGACTATTTTTCTGAAGAATCCTAACTAAATTAAAACATTTGATTTCAGAATACTCTGAAGCTGCTAGGTTTTTAGCAGGTGGGTAATATACAATATTGTGTTTAGCAGTTCAGTGTATCTCAGGGAAATATCTTGTTTCAAGAAGGAGATTCTGAAAATGAATCACTCTCTGGATGAACAGTCCTGACCTGTTAACCACAGAGATAATAGCAACACTATGTACTTTGATTATTGGGACTTCATTTTAACATGAGAACATTTAACCATATTGTAAATGCCTGCAACCAAAAACAGCTCTGCCATTAATAACTTTTATCATAGGTTGCTAGTTCCCTAGGAGTTATGTTATTCTAATTTACTGGCTCAAAACACATACAGTTACAAATATATCATTTTTTTTAAATCCAGTTTAACCCTTTATGAGCACATTCCATCTCAAACTTATTTTTTTCTCAAAAGCATTTTTTAGGGTATATTTAAAGTACTGCATTTGATTTTAATTGTTGATGGTTAATCAGGCATGGGACATTGTATTTTGGGATGTGGTACAGAGGCTGCCTATTGTCTACTATGATGAAGCAGAAAAAATCTAGGTAGCTCTAGACTAGGGGATTGGTACTGATTACTCACTGTGCTCATTCATACAGTCAGGTCCATAAATATTGGGGCATTGACACAATTCTAACATTTTTGACTCTATACACCACCACAATGGATTTGAAATGAAACGAACAAGATGTGCTTTAACTGTAGACTGTCAGCTTTAATTTGAGGGTATTTACATCAAAATCAGGTGAACGGTGTAGTAGGAATTACAACAGTTTGCATATGTGCCTCCCACTTGTTAAGGGACCAAAAGTAATGGGACAATTGGCTTCTCAGCTGTTCCATGGCCAAATTCAGCCAAATGCTTCAGAACTCATTGGACACCGCTTCACAGTGCAGAAGGACAATGACCCAAAGCAGACTGCAAAAGCAACCAAAGAGTTTTTTAAGTGAAAGAAGTGGAATGTTATGCAATGGCCAAGTCAATCACCTGACCTGAATCCAATTGAGCATGCATTTCACTTGCTGAAGACAAAACTGAAGGGAAAATGCCCCAAGAACAAGCAGGAACTGAAGACAGTTGCAGTAGAGGCCTGGCAGAGCATCACCAGGGATGAAACCCAGTGTCTGGTGATGTCTATGCGTTCCAGACTTCAGGCTGTAATTGACTGCAAAGGATTTGCAACCAAGTATTAAAAAGTGAAAGTTTGATTATTATTGTCCCATTACTTTTGGTCCCTTAACAAGTGGGAGGCACATATGCAAACTGTTGTAATTCCTACACCGTTCACGTGATTTGGATGTAAATACCCTCAAATTAAAGCTGACAGTCTGCAGTTAAAGCACATCTTGTTCGTTTCATTTCAAATCCATTGAGGTGGTGTATAGAGCCAAAAATGTTAGAATTATGTTGATGTCCCAATATTTATGGACCTGACTGTAACTGAAGCATAGTAAACTGAGCTTCCTATACTTCAGTTTGTGAATTAACTAAGCAGCCACTCAACACATAGCACTTCCCATTCATTTACTGTCCAGTACAGTTGAGGTTGTAGAAAAGGGGACTGGGGAATCTTTGTGCTCAGTCCCTTTCTCTGTCTCAAAAGTGAGACTTAAGGGGTCTGTATAGACCCCTGATATTTCACCAAAGGCCCTCCACTAGGGCTCCTTTAAAAAAGAGGTACACAATAATAAAAAATAACATTACAAAAATTGTGAACAATTAAAAAAATACTAAATATATTTAAAAAAAAACTACTGACTTCACCTGCCCTGCTGACACCATCAACTGCTCTGCTGACACTGTTTTCTGCCCTACTGACACCATCCACTACTGTTCTGACACCACCCTCTGCCCTACTGACACCACCCTCTGCTCTACTAACACCATCCACGGCCCTATGGATACTGTCCACAAATTATCCACTGCCCTACATACACAGTCCACACACCATTGACTGCCCTATTAACACTGTCTACTTACCATCCACTGCCTCGCTGACACTGTTTACTACTCTTCTGACTGACACTGTCCACTGTTAAGGTAAGGTAAGTTTATATTTGTACAGTGAAATTTGTTTTATGATACCGTATTTTCCGGCGTATAAGACGACATTTTACCCCTTGAAAATCTTCTCAAAAGTCGGGGGTCGTCTTATACGCCGGTAACGGCATGCTGACACTTTTGATGGGGTGCTATTCCCCCCAATGATACTAATGATGGGGCACTATTCCTGCCACTGATACCAATGATGGGGCACTATTCCTCCCACTGACACCAATGATGGGACACCATTCCTCCCACTGATACCAATGATGGGGCACTATTCCTCCCACTGATACCAATGATGGGACACTATTCCTTCCACTGACACCAATGATGGGGCACTATTCCTGCCACTGATACTAATGATGGGGCACTATTCCTGCCACTGACACCAATGATGGGGCACTATTCCTCCCACTGACACCAATGATGGGGCACTATTCCTCCCACTGACACCAATGATGGTGTACTATTCCTCCCACTGACACCAATGATGGGGCACTATTCCTCCCACTAATACCAATGATGGGGCACTATTCCTCCCACTGACACCAATGATGGGGCACTCTTCCTCCCACTGACATCAATGATGGGGCACTATTCCTCCCACTAATACCAATGATGGGGCACTATTCCTCCCACTGACACCAATGATGGGGCACGATTCTTCCCACTGGTGTGCACTGGAAGAGGGGTAGTCTTATACGGCGAGTATAGCCCAAACACTACATTTTAAACAGGAAAAGTAGGGGGTCGTCTTATACGCCCAGTCGTCTTATACACCAGAAAAATACGGTACTTTATTTACTTTTAGTTAGGCCTTGCTAGTTAATTTCTTTTTTTTTTTAAATGGTGCTGGACCCTGGTGATCTTTGATCTCGGTAATTTTGTTCAGGTAGATCTCCACCTTCAAGCGTTGTCTACCCCTGATTTAGCCAGAGCTGGCAGGGCAAAACAGGAACAGTCCCGTTGGCTAGCACTTTAATACACCTCTTAGGTTAGCCATTTTTTCTTCGTCACTGTTATACTAAAAAAGAGCTTTTTCTCTTGGCTCCATAAATGCCAGAGAACTAAGATTTGAGCTCTCTTTATCCAAGCTTTATAACTTTGGGCCTTTAGGAATTTCAAACTTTACTTATTTAAATGACCCTGCAATCAGTTGGTCAGTCCTGTTGCAGTTATATGGTCTATCCTGAAGGTGAATAAACAGAGGTTTTTTTTGTGAGGGGTAAGGAGTGAAAATATTTAGACACAACTCATGAGATTAAAAAGTGTACAGTAAAGTAGGGAAATTCTCATTGGTCATTAAACATACAGTATATTATGCATGCACTCTAGTTCATTTTTTCTGCAGCGTTCCCAATGCAGAATGTGGGTTGCACAGTGCTTTTTGTGCTTCACGTCGGAACACCCAAGCTTTTATGTATTATCAAAAGTGTACATCATGGTAATAGGTCAGGAGTTAAAAATTGAACTGTCCTGTATAATAATTCTGAGCTACATTCTCAGGAAATGAAGGCCTGCAATGCTTCACTGATTAGTACTCCCTCTTTATGGCTGTGTACAGAGTCCACACTCCCCCCCTGCTCGGAACTCATCTAGGCTGTGAACATGTATGTTATTCACAGCATGTGATAGGGCATAAACTATGAGAGCTAAGCACTATATTGTAAATGATTTGTGCTGTTTGTTATTTTAGCCACAATTTCCTCTGCAGGGAGCCATTAAAAACACCACTGAATTACATTAGAAATTTTGAATGTTTTTTCTAAGCATCACTGGAACAGGATCGTTTACACTGGAATGCCTTTGGCTTATGAATTACAGATAATCTTGTAAATTACATTGTAGAAAGAACTTAAATAAAGAGCCAAAGCAATGCTAAAACGTGTCATGGACATTAGAGAAGAGTTGAACTCACACAAGCAGATTTTGAGAAAAACTTGCTGTCTTGGATTACACGAATGTCCATGTTTGTGTCAATGAGAGGGCAGGAAAGGGAACTTGAGCTAGCTTATCCAGTGCTCTGCTCTTCCAAAAGATATACAATAGTATCTGGCTAAAAAAATCCAACTTGGCAGGTTTCTTCTAAGATCACTTGGGGTGTCTGCAGTAGTCAGCTAGTATACATAGACCTGAAGCCTGTCATCCAGGTCAATTCTTTTTCCCATGTCTCCATCATTTTTCCTGGCTCCCTTTTAAGTACAGCCTAACCTAGAAGCCAAAGGACAATTTTTGGGAGCCAGAATAAATTAAAGTGATTGTAAAGGATGTTTTCTTTTTAATAACAAACTTGTCACACTTACCAGTTCTGTGAAATGGTTTTGCACAGAGCAGCCCCTATCCTCCTCTTCTCGGGGTCCCCCATCGAAGTTCCTGGCCCATCCCTCTGCTAAGTGCCTCCATAGCAAACCACTTGCTATGGGGGCACTTACTCATGCTTGCTCCCAAGTTGGCTCTGTGTAGACCTTCCTGTCCAGCTAAGCCCCACCCACCACTCATCTCATTGGCTGTGATTGTCAGTAGCAGGAGCCAATGGCTCCCACTGCTGTGTCTGAGCCAATGAGGAGGAAGAGAGCCTCTGCTCTTGTGCACATCGCTGTATTGAGATGGGGCTCAAGTAGGTATAAGGGGAGGGACTGGGGAGGAGCTGCTTGCGGAATTTTTTTTACCTTAATGGAGAAAATGCATTAAGGTTAAAAACCTTCTGCCTTTAGAACCTCTGTAACTTATATTGCAGCCTCAAAACTGTTAAGCATGGATATGATGTATTGGTAGCTCTTGGGGTGAGGTTAAATTCAAACTCAACATCCAGCACCTATTTTACCAACTGATCACTTGAAAATCCTTGTCACAATGACACAAATTGCCTTTAGTATGCTGCTTCTCCTTTCTTGACTTGAAGACATACACTCACCAGCCACTTTTTTTAGGTACAACCTTGCTAGTACCGGGTTAGACCCCCTCTTTGCCTTCAGAATTGCCTTAATTCTTCATGGCATGGATTCAAAAAAGTGTCAGAAATATTTCTCAGAGATTTTGGTCCATATTGACATAGTAGCATCACACAGTTGCTGCAGATTTGTCAGCTGCACATCCATGATGTGAATCTCCTGTTCCACCACATCCCAAAGGTGCTCTATTAGATTGAGATCTGGTGACTGTGGAGGCCATTGGAGTACAGTGAACTCATTGTCATGATCAAGAAACCAGTTTGAGATGATTTGAGCTCTGTGACATGGCGCATTATCCTGCTGGAAGTAGCCGTTAGAAGATGGGTACATTGTAGTCATAATGAGATGGACATGGTAAGCAACAAACCTCAGGTAGGCCATGATGTTTAAACAATGCTCAATTGGTACTAAGGGGCCCAAAGTGTGCCAAGAAAATTTCCCCCACACCATTACACTACCACCAGTCTGAACCGTTGATACAAGGCAGGATGGATCCATGCTTTCATGTTGTGTGCACCAAACGATGACCCTACCATCTGAATGTCGCAGCTGAAATTGAGACTCATCAGACCAGGCAATGTTTTTCCAATCTTCTATTGTCCAATTTTGGTGAGCCTGTGTGAATTGTAGCCTTCATTTCCTGTTCTTAGCTGACAGGAGTGGCTCCTGGTGTGATCTTTTGCTGTTGTAGCCTATCTGCTTCAAGGTTCGGCGTGTTGTGCGTTTCAGAGATGTTATTCTGCATACCTTGGAGGTAATGAGTGATTATTTGAGTTACTGTTGCCTTTCTTGTACCAGTCTGCCCATTCTTCTCTGACCTCTGACAAGGCATTTTCGTCCACACAACTGCTGTTCACTGGATATTTTCTCTTTTTCGGACCATTCTCTGTAAACTCTAGAGATGGTTGCATGTGAAAATCCCAGTAGATCAGTTGTTTTTGAAATACTTAGACCAGCCCGTCTGGCACCAACAACCATGCCACGTTCAAAGGCACTTAAACCCCCTTTCTTCCCCATTCTGATGCTTGGTTTGAACTTTAACAAGTATCTTCACCACAACTAGATGCCTAAATGCATTGAGTTGCTGCCATATGATTGGCTGATTAGCAATTTGTGTTACCAAGCAGTTGAACAGGTGTACCTATTAGAGGTCGGTGAGTGTAGATGTCTTTGGGAAAATCTTTGACACTTAGAAAGTTAAAAGCTGAGAAATAAGTAATCTTATCCTTTTACTATTACATAGCTAAACATCTCCAAAATAACATTAGGACTATGTCATGGGCTTAGTTAAATGCCGATATAGACCATTGGAGTTCTACTTTAATGACAATTTTCACTTAATTAGCTATATTGGTCTGACATGTTTGTTAACTCTATCACTTCTGGAAAACAATTAAACAAAGGCCAATCTGCAAAGAGAAACAGCAGATACCTATCCTGCTGCCTGCAACACTGAACTCATTCTCTGACCAGTCCACTGCATCTGACATACTTCCAGAGGTAAAACTTCACTTGATTCCGGCAGTGTTCCCAGAGAAACAGGAATACATTTTATATTCAGAAAGAACAACAGCTCAGCACCTCTGGGTGTGTTGTGGGTGTATGGTCCCCTGCTTCAGGCTGTGCCTCCCATTGACCCCTACCTCACTACATAACACAGCCTTAGCATTGCAATAAAAGGTAGATAGGGACCACGGACAACAGGGCAGGTTAGAATTTATGGTTTTCTTTTATAAGATGATCTTTGTTTAATTTTTTTTTTTTTTATTTTAAGGGCATGGTACCTTGCTTCTCTTGATTAGAAGTTTAGTGTTCTGTTTTCTTTTGACTATTTTAGGCCAGTGTAATCAAGACAAACCATGAGTGAGTGAGTGAGTGCATTGGGCACCCTGGCTGCCATTGTGCTACATGCTGGGTGTTCTTTGCCCAGTACCTTTAAGAGGGGTGGACTCCCTTTATGTGCACCTGCCTTTGGTCTATCCTTTAAATGCATGTGCCTCTACTATGGGGACTCAAATTTGTAGAGTTAGGACCACAAAATATCAGGGTGCCGTGATGTGGCTCTGTGGCTTACGTATGTATTTGCAAATGTGTGCTAACTAAACCCCTGTTTTTAACGCATACTGTTAGACAGGTTAATTTGGTTGTTGGCAAGCTGGCTGGCGAGTTGATTTTTGAACCCTCTCTTTTTTATTTTTTCCTTTATTACTGACAAGACAAATCATAGCCAAAAAAAGAAACATTGTTGATTTTTTTGCATTTGACCAGAAATACTGTTAATGAAAGGAACATGTAAGACATTGGGGTTGATTTACTAAAGGCAAATAGACTATGCACTGTGCGAAGTGCAGTCGCATTCTGCAAGTGCAGCTATTCCAGAGCTTAGTAAATGAGAAGAGGCTCTGCTGACTTCCATCATCCAATCACGTGCAAGCAAAAATGCTGTTGTTTTTTTTTAATTTTCCTTGCACGTGATTGGGTATTCTTTGCAGTGTGAAACTTTACCTTATTTACTAAGCTCTGGAGCAGCTGCACTTGCAGAGTGTAACTGCACTTTCAAAAGTGCACAATCTATTTGCCTTTAGTAAATTAATCCCAAAGTGTACCTTCTTTAAATGCATGCTGTATGCAGGGTGTAAGATTCAACCATCTGTACTATAACACTTACAATTATATCTAATATTGGGATACTGCATCATTTTCATTGTACTTTACAGTATTTACTGGAAACCAAAAGCATTCATTTGTTCCTTTGTTTAGAAATGTCTGTATTGAGCCCTCTGTATGATATTTATTTGAATATGTTCTCTATCTCAGATCTGTTCATTCAGTTTGAGAAGCGTATAACACTAAACTGTTTTTTTTGTCCCTGCACCAGGTAATGGGGACTGTGAAAACGGCAGTTGCAAATGCATTAATGGCTGGGAAGGTGACCGATGTCAATGCTCCTCATCAAAGAAACACTGTATGGACGCAAATGGACTTTTATGCAGTGGAAGGGGGACTTGCATATGTGGAAAATGCGAATGCACTGATGACAGGAGCTTTGGGCCTTTGTGTCAATACTGCTCTGAATGTAGCAATACCTGTACAAAACAACTGGTATGGCTTGTATAATAAACTGATTTTTCAGGAATATTCTCTCAGATTTTAGATGTAATATATTAATATATGCTCTAGTAAAAGTGTTATTGAGCCAGAACCAGAAAACATAGGGATTTACCAAACAGAAGTGTGTTGGCAGGTAGTATTCTGTATGCAGATGAGGAGTGTCTTGGGTATGACAGTGGGCATTATGTGCAGGTGATGATACACTGCAGACAGGCCACTAAGAGGTATATTGCTTATAATATGGAGTACTGAGGAGTTAAAGCAGTAGTAAACCACGTCCTTTATAAGAGAAAAAAAACCCTGCAAGACAATGGCATAATGTTCTAGTTTTCAGCGCTACTAGCACATTTTGTGAAACTTGCCTTTAAATGAAGCCCTCCAGTGGAGCGTTTTCACCACTGACAGGGCTTCCATCTTCACCCGGTCCTTCTTCTGGGTTTATGGGCTTTGGGGCTTGAATGGCTATGATGATGTAATTCCCACGCATGCACGCTGGAGTCACTTTTTAAGGCACACAGTGCACATTTAGGAGATATTTACAGTACTTACAGGTAAGACTCATTATAGGCTTACCTGAAGGTACAAATACAAAAACTGACTTTACTACCACTTTAATGCTTCTGTGTGGTGACTGGTCATTGAGAGGTTAATGTGCATACCCTGTTGGCCGCTGATGGATTAATACACATACTGCTTTAAAACTGGCCTAAAGAGCTCTGTGTACTGGAGGGGAATCCTACTACTAGTAAGGATATTGGGGAGTTATGAGTGTGTGTGCCTGTGGCAGGAAACAGAGGAAAACTCAATAACACACAATCCTTGACTACCCAATGGAAAGCAATGAGAAACTTGCCTATGCAGAGGGTAGGGTGAAGGTAGGTGGGGGGGGGGGGTGAGACTGCTGCTGAACTGAGCTTCGTTTTGAGTATTTATCTTCCAAACGGTGTATCTGTGCTCAGTGTGCAGTGGCTATGGGAAGAACATGAACAATATTCAATATGCAGTTTCTGTGGTGGGAGTGTAAAACTGCAGATTTATAGTCTATGCGGAGGAAAACTGAAGAGTGTGTGTGCTGGAGGTGGGATATACTGGAAAGACCAATGTGTGTGCTAAAGGTGGCATATAGTGGAAAGACCAATGTGTGTGCTAGAGGTGGCATATATAGTGGAAAGACCAATGTGTGTGCTAAAGGTGGCATATAGTGGAAAGACCAATGTGTGTGCTAAATGTGGCATATAGTGGAATGACCAATGTGTGTGCTAAAGGTGGCATATAGTGGAAAGACCAATGTGTGTGCTAAAGGTGGCACATAGTGGAAAGACCTATGTGTGTGCTAGAGGTGGCATATAGTGGAAAGACCAATGTGTGTGCTAAATGTGGCATATAGTGGAATGACCAATGTGTGTGCTAAAGGTGGCATATAGTGGAAAGACCAATGTGTGTGCTAGAGGTGGCATATAGTGGAAAGACCAATGTGTGTGCTAGAGGTGGCATATAGTGGAAAGACCAATGTGTGTGCTAGAAGTGGCATATAGGGGAATGACCAATGTGTGTGCTAGAAGTGGCATATAGGGGAATGACCAATGTGTGTGTGCTGGAGGAAGGATACAGGGGAACAATCAGTGTGTGTGCTCTGCAGCTGGTATACAGGGGTAAATAAAAAATGTGATTGTGCTGGAGGTGGCATAGAAGACAAAAGACCACTGTGTGTGTGTGCTGGTGGAGGAATACAGGGACAATACCAATGTATGTATGCTAGCGGTGGCATACAGGAGGAAGATCAATATGTGTGTGCTAGAGGTAGAATTCAGGATAAAGACCAATGTGTGTGTGTGTGCTGGAGGTGGAATTCCTGATAAAGACCAATGTGTGTGTGCTGGAGGTGGGATACACGGGAAAGAACAATGCATGTACAGTCATGGCCGAAATTGTTGGCACCCTTGATATTTCTCCAGGAAATCATGTATTTCTCACGAAACGTATTGCATTAACACATGTTTTGCTATACACATGTTTATTCCCTTTGTGTGTATTGGGACAAAACAAAAAAAAGGGAGGAAAGAAAGCAAATTCGACATAATGTCACACAAACCTCCAAAAATGGGCTGGACAAAAGTATTGGCACCCTTTCACAACTGCGGATAAATAAGAATGTTACAAGCATGTGATGCTCCTGTAAACTCACCTGGGGCAAGTAACAGGTGTGGGCAATATAGAAATCACACCTGAAAGCAGATAAAAAGGAGAGACGTTCACTTAACCTTTGCATTGTGTGTCTGTCTGTGCCACACTAAGCATGGACAACAGAAAGAGGAGACGAGAACTGTCTGAGGACCTGAGAACCAAAATTGTGGCAAAATATCAACAATCTCAAGGTTACAAGTCCATCTCCAGAGAACTAGATTTGCCTTTGTCCACAGTGCGCAACATTATCAAGAAGTTTGCAACCCATGGCACTGTAGCTAATCTCCCTGGTCGTGGACGGATGAGGAAAATTGATGAAAGATTGCAACGCAGAATAGTCCGGATGGTGGATAAGCAGCCCCAAACATGTTCCAAAGACATTCAAGCTGTCCTGCAGGCTCAGGGAGCATCAGTGTCAGCGCGAACTATCCGTCGACATTTAAATGAAATGAAACGCTATGGCAGGAGACCCAGGAGGACCCCACTGCTGACACAGAGACATAAAAAAGCAAGACTACAGTTTGCCAAAATGTACTTGAGTAAGCCAAAAGCCTTCTGGGAAAACGTCTTGTGGACAGATGAGACCAAGATAGAGCTTTTCGGTAAAGCACATCATTCTACTGTTTACCGAAAACGGAATGAGGCCTACAAAGAACAAAACACAGTACCTACGGTAAAATATGGTGGAGGTTCAATGATGTTTTGGGGTTGTTTTGCTGCCTCTGGCACTGGGTGCCTTGACTGTGTGCAAGGCATCATGAAATCTGAGGATTACCAAAGGATTTTGGGTCGCACTGTAGGGCCCAGTGTCAGAAAGCTGGGTTTGCGTCCAAGATCCTGGGTCTTCCAGCAGGACAATGACCCCAAACATACGTCAAAAAGCACTCAGAAATGGATGGCAAAGAAGCGCTGGAGAGTTCTGAAGTGGCCAGCAATGAGCCCAGATCTAAATCCCATTGAACACCTGTGGAGAGATCTTAAAATTGCTGTTGGGAAAAGGTGTCCTTCCAATAAGAGAGACCTGGAGCTGTTTGCAAAGGAAGAGTGGTCCAAAATTCCGGGTGAGAGGTGTCAGAAGCTTATTGATGGTTATAGGAAGCGACTGATTTCAGTTATGTTTTCCAAAGGGTGTGCAACCAAATATTAAGTTAAGGGTGCCAATACTTTTGTCCAGCCCATTTTTGGGGTTTTGTGTGACATTATGTCATATTTGCTTTTCTGCCTCTGTTTTATATTTTGTTCCAATACATACAAAGGGAATAAACATGTGTATAGCAAAACATGTGTTAATGCAATACCTTTTTTGTGTGAAATACTTGATTTTCAGGAAAAATATCAAGGGTGCCAACAATTTCGGCCATGACTGTATGTTGGAGGTGGATACAGGGAAAAGACCTATGTGTGCTTGCTGGAGAAAGGATACAGGGGAAAGACCAATTTGTGTGACCTGGAGGAAAGACACAGAGGAAAGACCAGTGTGTGTGATGGAGGTGGTATACAGAGGAAATACTAATGTATGTTTGTTGGATGTAGCATAGGAGGTTCTGGAGGTGGGCTACAAGTTAATGCTAATGTATGTGTGCTAGAAAGACCAATGTGTTGTTGGAGGTGGAATCCAGGAGAAAAAAACCAATGTGTGTGTTTTGCTGGAGGTGGAATCCAGGAGAAAGGCCATGTGTGTGTGCTAGAGAGATGGAATGGAATAGAGGGGAAAGACCAATATGTGTGTGCTGGAGGTATGATACAGGAGAAAGACCAATGTGTGTGTGCTGGAGGTATGATACAGGAGAAAGACCAATCTGTGTGTGCTGGAGGTATGATACAGGAGAAAGACCAATCTGTGTGTGCTGGAGGTATGATACAGGAGAAAGACCAATGTGTGTGTGAACTGGAGGAGGGTTCTCAGTTGGGGAAGGACCAATGTGTGTATGCTAGAGGTGGTATGCAGGGGAAAGACCAATATGTGTGTGCTAGAGGTATGATACAGGAGAAAGGCCAATGTGTGTGTGTGCTAGAGATGGAATAGAGGGGAAAGACCAATATGTGTGTGCTGGAGGTATGATACAGGAGAAAGGCCAATGTGTGTGTGAGCTGGAGGAGGGTTCTCAGTTGGGGAAGGACCAATGTGTGTATGCTAGAGGTGGTATGCAGGGGAAAGACCAATATGTGTGTGCTAGAGGTATGATACAGGAGAAAGGCCAATGTGTGTGTGAGCTGGAGGAGGGTTCTCAGCTGTGGTGCTGGATATGTGATGTTACTGGGGAAGAGCCAGGAAGAAGCTGTTTGGCACAGTGACAAAGTGAGAGTAGAACTTAGAAATAATATAATATAGGATGTTGTAATCAAACAGCTAGTAAAGAGCAGTCAGAAGAAAGTAGTTTACAGTACAATTCATCTTGTGCTTAATGTATTCGTGTGCAAGAGGGAGAACATTTATCTATCGTTCAAGCCACCCTACCTCTTGCAAGTATCTTCCCATCCATGCAGAGAACAAAAGAGTAGGATAATATAGGCAGTCCAGTAAGAACAGGCGGCGGTTCTTAATGTCTCCTCACTGGATGGCATTGGTCAAATAAGCTTAAGGTTGTTCCTCTTTGTATCTTAATGTGCAAATCATAAACAGTATCATATATCAATCAAATAATTATTCTTAACAACTTTAATTGTACATATGTCTTTTTTGTGGCTAATATGAACATTTTTATCATTTCAATTAGTTTATTTTTTCCAGGGACTGAACACATTTGAGAATGTAGCCTTTGACATGTCCCTGCTTTTTAAACGTGAATAGATGCACAATACAGCCTTTTC